CCGGCCCCTCCCCCCAGCCAGGCGGGTGCTCTCAGGGCAGGTGGGGAAGGGCGTGGCCTGAGGGGGAGGAGCCACACGGGTCCCCAGGGGTCCCACTGACAGCTGTGCTCTGGCCGCCCTGTCACCTCCCCAGCTCTTCCCCGCGGTGGAGGAGCTCATGCTGCAGCCCCTGTGGGAATCCCGAGCCCACTATGAGGAGCTGAAGCAGCTGGACGACGCCAGGAAAGAGGTAAAGGTGTACGCTCCGGCCAGGCAGTCCCCAGGAGGGAGCCAGTTCTCCTCCCGGAAACCAAGCCCCCAGCCCCATCGCAGCCAAGGCCACAGGGGGCCCAGTCCTCCCACAGACCCGGAGAGGGTTCGGCCGTGTAGAACCCCGTGTGTGCACCTCCTCTGCACTAGAGACCCTGCCACATCCCCACCTGACCCTGGCTTCCAGCGTGGCCTCCCACATCCTGCCCGGGACCTCGCCACCCTGGAGCGTTCTCCCCGCGTTTCATGCACCGTCCAGCCTCGCCTTGGCCCCGTGTCGCCCTGGGGCCCTGCTTTCTCCCCTTCCCTGAGGCTTCCCTGAAGACTGCACACCCCATGCTGTCTGTTTGGCCAGGGACCCGGGGTGCCCTGGGTGCCCACAGTGCCCCCGTCCCTCCACCGCCCCATGTGCGATGCCAGGCCTGCTACAGGTGCTCCAGAAATACACATGCATTAATTCAAGGTCCCAACCAGTGATCCTGACTTCCCTAGTTGGAATTTCCCACCCAAAGGTCACAGAGAGATCTGCAAAACCTTGAAAGACTGAGAAATACAGAGAAACAGATGAAGCAGGATGGTTTCTCTGGTCTCAACCCCCTGGGAGGGCTGAGGGGCTCCCCACCTCTCCAGGCCGTGCCCTGTGGCCTCCTGACCCGCTGCCTGTCCTCCGTGGCTTTGGGGACTGCAGGCAGCCTGGGCTCCGGTCCCATGCAGTCCACTGGGCAGGTCACGCACACGAGCTCCGCTCCTGCAAAGCCCAGGGCATCCATCCTGGCACCCCTGCCCACTGTGCCTCCCGGGACTGATGCTGCCCACCCACTCTATCCTAGCTGCAGAAGAAGACTGAGAGCTTGGCCTCCGGGACCACCGAGAAAGCCAGAGAGAAGAGCAGAGGCGGGAGGAAGAGAGAAGGTGGCACGTCTCCAAACTGAGGTCTCGGCGTAGACGGTGATTTAGACTAAAGTGGGGAGGAGCCACCTGTGCGTGGGAGTGGGGTGGCCCCTCTTCCTGCGCCACCGCCAGTCCGGTGACGGGGACCCCAGGCCCTTAGCCAGCCCTAACCTCCCCCGGGTTCGAGTGAAGTCTCTGTCCTCTTGATATTGAACATTGGGGTTAAACTCCAGCACATGTGTCCCAGGGACACAACCCATTTCCCAGCCAGTGCACAGAATATTTATACATAAGTGGAAACTCAGTCCCTTGTGTGTAGGAATCAGAAAAGGCCTTCAAAAGAAGGAAATATCCTCAAAAGAGCAAGGACCCAAGTTCAATCCCTGGTACCAAACAAAGGGAATATACTTAGAAAAAAATAGGATCTGCACTACGTACAAGAGAAAGTCTCGTTCTGTTTTGTGGACCTGGGCATTGAACCCGGGGCCTGTCCATTCCAGGCAAGTGCTCTCCTGCAGAGTTGCATCCCTGGCCTTTTTTTTTTTTTTTAATGCAGTTGAGCCAGGTGTGGTGGTGCACACCTGTAATCCCAGCCGCTCAGGAGCCTGAGGCAGAAGGATCCCAAGTTTGAGGCCAGCCTGGACAACTTAGTGAGATCCGTTCTCAAAATAAAAAGCCAAAGGTTTGGGAAGGTACTTCTGTGGTAGAGCACCTGCCTAGCAGTACTACAAAAGGTGAACAAATACATAAAAAGTGAAAGAAAGCCGGGGGTGGAGCCCAGTACGGCCTGGTTCAGTTCCCAGTACCACCCAAAACCAGCAGTGCAGTTGAAGTCCTGAAAGCTTTTCAGAAATGAAGCGGCGTGTCGAGGATTTAGCCTGGTCTCCTGTGTGTGCTGCTAGCCACCACCCCTTCGTCACTGTGGGGACAAAGCAGCCCGTGCAGATGGCGGGCACAGCACACCCCGTGTCGCCTCCGCCACAGAACACGAGGGCAGCCGGCTTGGGTCGCGTCCCAGCCACAGGACCTGGGGACCGCCAAGGCTTCGTGGCCTGCCCACCTCACGCTGTGCCCCAGCTTTGCCAAGGACAAGCCAAGGGACACACGTGTGGCCGGCGCTGTGTGCCTCAGAGCCCATAGCGGCCGCCATTGTGCCCTCGGTGATGAAGGAGCCGCGTGCTGGTCCACACTGAGTGCTGGCATTTAATCCTCAAGTACGCGCTGGTGCCTGAGCGGCTCAGGCACGGTGACCCGGACCCCATCCCTACACGTGTGTGGCGCTGTGTCCCACGCCCGCACCCTTTCACAGCAGCTGTGTGTGAGCTGGGTGTTGCCGTCCCCGTGAGGCAAAGCAGGGGTCCTTTCCCTTCTTCGCTGAGTAGACCGAGCCAGAAGCAGCGGCACGGCTGTGGGCCGCGGTGTGGACGGGCTGGCGGAGCCTCGTGGGACCTTCCGAATAGTCACCGTGGATGCCTGGCTCCACCAGACTACGTTTTCTAAGAACCGTTTGTTCACTGAAACAAACAAAACAAGGGAATTCATGAGCTGTACAGAATTTTTATTTTTAAACTGCCTTTTAAATAATATATTCTTATACAGAAACGGGTACTGTACTTTTTCTTCGGTAGAGTTTTGTATCCCTTGCTGCTTCTGCTGGGTTCTCCCGCGGAGAAAAGGATGCTGTTCTTTCCCCTCCGTGGACCTCAGAACAAGTGGCCAGCAATCCCGCTATAGGTGCCAGAGCGGTGCTGAGAGGGATGTGCACGTGTCTTGTGCTCACGGGTAGAGGGGACCTCAGTGCAGCGGATGGTGTGGCCGAGTGGGCAGGCGTGACAGCGGTGACACCACCCTGGCCGTGGGGACACCACAGGCTGCACGCTCTCAGGGCGGTGGGGACCTAATATTTAAACCTCCACAGGGGAGGAGAGAGGTCCTTGCCTGTTTCGAGGACAGGCACTGGGGATGTTCTGGTGGCTCTGTGTCCAGAGTCCCAGCTTGGCGCAAGCCTGTGCTCAGGCTCCGGTCGCTCAGTTGACAAAAAGCAGACACTAACACCCCCCGGGGCCTTGGGGCCATCTCTGCTCCCCGAGGGTCAGGGCCACACCCAGGTGCCTCTGCTGAAGCACTGACCTTTGGAGGCCACCGTGTCGTCTGAGTCTCGTGGACCTTTCCTGCCCAGGCTGGTTTCGTCTCTTCAGAGCCCGTGTTCCCTCCTGGTGAGCTCCGGATGTCACTTCCTGTCCTGGAGGAACTCACCTGGGCCGGGAAATTTCCCACCATTCCCAGATCCAGCTCGGCTCAGATCGGGACCTTGAGTTCTGTGCCTCTCCTCTGTCTTGCGTGTGCTTTTCCTTTAACCCCACAAAAGCCGATACAGGTGCAGGTGCGGCACCAGCCTTCACGTCGCCCTGCAGGGGCAACCTGTCCCTCTCTCTGCCACCTCTGACCCCGTCCGACCACCCCCAGTGCCGCGGGGCACCATCCACTGACACACAGTGACTTCTGATGGCCAGCTCGAGTGGAGGAAGAACGCCTAGGAAAGCAGGGACCTGGATCCCAAGGGCCCTCAGCCCACCAGGGCGTTACCGGGAGGCGATGGAAACAGGAAGCGGGGCCGCTCCTCCCACTCCCTCTGCTTCCTGTCCGCTGTAAGCCGGGGAGATTTGATCCCCTGTTCCCTTCCATGCGATGTTCCTGCCTCATGGCGGCCCAAAGACCATGGAGCCAGCCAACTGTGAATCAAAACCTCTGAAACCTTGAGCCAAAATAAACCTTTCCTCCTTTAAATTGTTTATCTTGGGTATTGTCATAGTGACAAAAATCTAGCTGGAGTATTCCTTGCCAGGAGTGGTGGTGTATGCTTATAATCTCCCATCTTTGGGAGGCTGAGGCAGGAGGATCTCTGTGAGTTCGAGGCCAGCCTGGACTACATAGCAAGATCCTGTCTTATTACAAAGCAGAACAAAGTGTGAGCCCTACTGTGAACTGCTCATGGGAAGGACCTAGGTTGTGCAATCCTTTGGGAATCCAATCCCAAACACTTCCCACCCACCTCGCTCCCATCCATGGAAACACTATCTTCCACGAAACCAGTGCCTGGTGCCAAAAATTCTGGGATGCCGCTGCTTTAAATCACCTCTAGGTGACTCAGGATGCCTAACAGTATAAGTGATTGTGAGCAGTGGCTGGACTCTGTTGTTTACGGAATAAAGAGCAGAAAGAAAGTCCATACATGTTCAGGACAGATGCAGTTTTTTTCAGATATTTTGGCCCAAGTTTGATTAGACATGAAAGCAAAAGACACGGATTCAGAGAGGTGATGCTACACACGGCCACAGGCACACACGTGTGCACACACACAGCCACGCCTGCCTACACACAGCAGAATCACACGAGTGGGTCCACAGGTGGGTGCACACTCCTGCACTTCGTGGGGTCACAGGTTTCGGGCTGTGCCTCCTCAGGGGCAGAATCTGTGGAGAACGCTGGCATGGCTGGCCTGCTTTCCAGGAGCAGGCGTCTCGCCTGCAGCGCCAGGCTCCTCCCCCAGAGCTGACTCTCCTCCCTCAGGGCCGGCCCCTTCCTTCCGCTGTGCTGAGGCAGAGGAGCCGCCCCAAAGCCGGGGTCACCGCAGGCCCAGACCTCCTGGTGCTGTGCAGTCTGGCCTCCGGGGAGCCTTCAGCCTGCTGTCCATGGCAGCCCCTCACCGTCTTCCCGTCCATCCCTGCTTGTGTCCCTGTCCTGTGTCAACAGTGGACCGGGACTCTCACTGTCCAGCACTGAGCAGAAGTCCAGGTGAGGCACGGCCGGGGTGACTCTGGGGAAGTCGGTCAGAGCTCCTCCCACACCCCAGGAACTCACCGCCTGGCTCCTCCTCCCCACCAACCTCCCCCCCGCTTCCTCTTACCCGGCCCTTGCTGTGACACTCATGACCCTGGCCGTGTCAGCCTCACAGCATGAGCCACACTGCAAAGCCTCTCTCAGTCCCGGGTTCCAGGGTCTGAGTTGGTGTCCCCGGTGCTGGGTGGTTCTGTCCCATTCGATAAGCAGCTGAAGTGCCCAGCTGCACGGGCCCTTTCCCGCTGCCCCATTAGAAGGCACAGCCACCTCCTTCACTGTCCCTCATCACAGTCCAAGGTGACCAGCCCCTCCCTTTGCCCAGGGCAGAGCAGCTTCCCATGTCCCAGGGCTTTTACTGTCAACACTGGACCAGCCCAGGCCAGTGGGCTGGAGCTGCCACCCTGCCCATCTCAGACTAGCATGGGTCCTGCCACGGGCCCTGCCCCTTGCCTTACAGCTGGTTGTGCAGCCCTGGGGCTGAGTGTGCCCGAGGGCACTGGCTTCTTGTACTCTGCTGCCTCCCCACATGTTTCCATGTCCCACTCCAGGGCCTGACACAGGCGCAGAGGGCCATGCACCCCGGCAGGGCCCCGGGGTCTCCTTGCTTTTGCCCCTGGAGATGCCCTCTCACCTTTGACCCTGCCACCCATGGAGGTCAGCCAGACTCCCGGAAGCACCCTGGCTGCGGAACTGCCTGCCGCCAGGCAGTGTGTCTGTCATGGACCCCACAGGACACGGGGGCCACTGGTTTGGGGGTGATTTGCTTGTGCAGACAGGCACCCTGCAAAAAATGAGCTCCCACGACCATCAGATCCCTAGGGGCAACCTCGGTAATTGGGACAGATCTGGAGCTCAGAAATCACTGAGCGAATGAGTGAGGTTGATCTTGGGGATGCTCACGTACAGAATCGCATAAGAGAAAATAATCAGAGTGCAGACTGTGTTGGGGAGCAAGAGAGACCCCCATGGGCGTGCACTTTGGAGAGGTGGAACCCGGGGTGGCATGTGACTGTGCCCACGGTCCCATCACCCCCAGCTTTGCTCCCCCGTGAGAGGAGGAGGTGGTACACATTCCTCCTTGGCACGGCGCAGTGATCACAGTAAAAATAAGAACATTTGGGCATCGCTCGGGACGAAGGGACAGGTACTACTGTAGCCAGCAGGGGCAGAGCAGTGCGACCTGGGGCCAGACCCTCACGCAGTGAGAATTCTGGGATGACTTCCTGGTGTTTCTATTAAAAGTGGCTTTAGCAAAAAATCCAGACTGCCATGAATGTGGCAAGTAGTGTGGGACAGAGGAAACGCTGAGCAGCCAGGGTGGCCGGCCGTCCTCTGGCTCTCACAGCTGGCACAGGCGGCACCCAGGGACACCTGCTGGTGGCAGGTGCAGGCTGCCGCTGCTTGGCTCCCTGGCTCTGTCCCTGTGGGCAGAGGCTGCGGCTGGCATGTCGTAGGCTGAGCTGAGCTCCCCACCCGCTCAGCTCCAGGCTGTGCCACCCGGCAGCGCATCTGCTCTGCAAAGAGCCTGTCAGGCAGGGCTTGAACCCTGGACTGCTTGACTCTTGTAATATGGGCTACGAGAGCTTCCCTTCTGCCTTAATTGCCAGGGCTGCCGTGATAACGACCACCAGGTTGGGCTCAGGACACCAGAAACACATCCTCCCCAGCCCTGAAGCAGAAGCCTGCTGGGCTGCACTCGGCTGGAGTTC